GGATTACAGGCGTGAGCCACCGCGCCCAGCCTACTATCTAAATTCTTTACCATTTTGGAACCTGATCACCCACCTTTTCATCTCCTACCTACTTTCAGCTGCCACTCATTTTAACCTAACATTCTCAGTTAACACACACTCCCTTTAATTCATCCCATCCTCTCCTCAAATTGGTATAAATTAGAAAACTTCCAAAGGCAAACAGACGTATTTAAAATTTTAAGTGTTAGTATCATGTAGTTGAGAAAAAGAAGAGGATGGGCAATATTCACAGTAATTTTCCCTCAGGTTTTCATGGGTTGTGTTCATTTGGAACATTTCTTCATTAGTTCTTTCAGTAGTCCTTCAAGGGCAGAGGCTTTGCTTTAGTATTTGGTGGGCATTCCAGAGATATTTATTGAAATGACTAATGATTATACTGTACATAGTATTGCACTAGGGGGTAACTACACTTTCCTTTTCCCCCCAATGAAAGATAATGATGATGACATAGCCCCATCTCTTAAGAATCCTATTGAAGCTAAACCTTTCCAAATTCAGAGGGTGAGGTGTTTGAGAATTACCTGTCATTCTAAATTATTTGAGGTGTTTGTATACACTTGGTTAAATTGAGAGAAGCAAATCTTTGGTTTCTGAGGTCATCCTGTTCTCTTGTGTATCTGTAATTATTTTTTCTTTCACTTTTCCTCTTCTCCTTTCCTCTTTATTCTTTCTTTATCTCATATCATTTCTTCATCTTTTTACTTAATCATTTTCTTGTACCTTTCCATTGCTGCTGAAATTAAGTAATTTTTTTCATAGATATGTTAAAAAGTACTTTTGGGTAGAAGGGAATAGGATAGTTAAATCTGCTACTGTGGGAGGCTGAATAATGCTGCCTTGAAGATGATCACATCTTAATCCCTGGAATCTGTGCATGTGCTACCTTGAATATTAAAGGGGACTTTGTAGCTGTGATGACTTTAAATGTTTTGTGATGGGGTTATTACCCTAGATTATCTAGATAGGCTTTATATAATTACAAGGGTCCTTATAAATGTGAGGCAAGAGGTCAGAGAGAAGGCAAAATAACTATGAAAGCAGAGATTGGACTGTTGTGGCCATAAACCAAGGAATGCTGGTAGTCTCTAAAAGCTGACAGAGACAAGGAACAGATTCTTCCTTGGTACATCCCAAAGAAACAAGCCCCACAAACACCGTGATTTTAGTCCCCTGTAGCAGGAAACCAATACAGTCACAATACCTTATAGTATGTATTTCTGTCTCTTCTGGTATGTTACAATTCTCCTCTGGGTAGGAACTGTGTCTCTTTTTTGTCTCAATCATAGCACCTAATAGGATGCCCTAATATATTAGATGCTCAAAAATATATTGTACAATGCAGTGAAATTAATAATAACTGCAAATGATTTACATTGTTAGATTCTTAGCCAGATGATCTGATTATAGATGCTTCAGAAAGCCAGAGAGTTGGGTAGCATTTTTAGAATGAAAGCTCTGTTTTTTACTTAAATTTTTTTAAGCATATATGGTCTAAAAATATTTATGTGAATGTACAGTCTACTGCTTAGGATACATTTTTTTAATTCCTAATTTTGTTTAATTTTAATACAGGTAGATGCTTCATTATCTTTTCTGGATGGTTTTGTGGCTGAAGGACTCAGTCAAGGGGCAGCACCTTACAAACCCCACCACCAACGCCAGGAGGAAAAGCTTTCTCAGGAAAAAGGTAATTTTTCATAGGTTTATCATAAGCTAAATCGTAGAGACTTTTTTTAATGTAATTGATATTATAATCATTAAGTCAATAACTAAAGATATTTACTTTTTATTATCCCTCTTTAAATACTTGTGATTTTGTTTACTCTGACTAGGTTTTCAGACACCCAGAAAAACAAAGTTAGCCTAGAGTTATTCCCAAATTCATAGATGCCACGTACATAAATGCCTAAGATATCATAGCCTTCCTGGAATTTTGAAAGAACTTGAACGTGAAATTGTCATGTTGGTCCCTGTCCTAGTAGGGTGATACATATTAGTGTGAGCGTATCTGTGGAAAAGTTTCAGGAAACAGCCCTGGTTATTATTGGCTAGTGAGTTTCATTTTCTTTCTGAGCAGTCTAGTATTTCTTAAGTGTATTAGAATGCTTCCTTCAACACAATATCTGATCAGTTAAGTTATGAACAGCTAAGAAAGGAAAGAATAACTTTATACTTAAGAAATTCAGCCTGTCAGGAAAAGACCTCTGCCATGATTT